GCGAAACCCCGCCCTTGTCATAATATGCGCAAATACAACGTTCACACAATTAAGAAATCCGGAAAAATGATTGAGCATTGCCCTTATCTGACTCCATTCCAACTCGATCTTTACCTGACCTGAACAGGACCTGAGAGACAGCATGGTATGGTCTTGTGCGTAGAACAAAAGGCTCTTTCGCTAAGAGCTGGTTTTAAAGGGAAAGTTTGTTTAAGGAGCTTGCTTTTAAGAAACCATTTTAGGTAAAAATGGCCAGATGTATCAACTGACGCTTACACCTAAACGATTCGTCAATAAGACTGTGATGGCATGGGCATCTACAAGGGCTCCAGACGATCGAGGTGACGGTCTGTTGGCGAAATACCCCAGCCGGTGTCGCATCACCAACCGCATTCTACATCCCGACCACAATCTGCCCACCCCGCCAGTCGTCTGCACGCGCGACCTCAATAACGGCCTGTTAGATATGCGGGCAGTCTTCCGGCATGTTAACGGGCGTGTTGCTGCAAGTGCGCCCGTACGTGGCTGCAAGTGCGCCCGCACGTGGTCGCAAGCGCGTCCGCACGTGGCCGGCTTCCTGCGGCCGACCCGACCGACACAGTTAGACACAGCGATGGCTGCGGCTGAATCTGGCCGAGCGGCTCCGCTGGGTGACCCCGGGATCGACCCCGAGTCGTACAGCAAGTGCGGGGGGAGGGGACGGATGTGCTCTTGTGGTCGCGGGGTTCAGGTAACCACATGCCACCGTTCTGTGTCGATCGACATTCGTGACCTGATCAGAAGATGGTGACGGCCACGTGACGCCGGAAGCCTGCGTGATACGGCCGCGTCCGCCCGGTCAGTCTCGCGCCAGCACTGGTGCACGGTTCGTGGCCGCTTCCAAGGCCCCACGGGGGGGGGGGAGGGCAGGGGGAGCGTTCTACACCAGCGCGCCCCAGCACATCCGGCGGGGCAGCAGTGAACGGGCGAGCTCCGGCGCGGCTTAGGCTGCTACAGCTGTGACCAGTTCGGTCACCTTCGCAGCGGCCGGGGGACCGAATGGTCTAAATAAGTGTAATTCTGTTGCTATTTTACAAGGAGCGTTTTCCGGAATGAGAACTCCGGTGTTATCCACCAGACAATTGAGATGTACATGCTCGCAGGTGCTTAGCCAGAATTTGCTTTGCGGGAGGGAGGAAGCGATGTCAAATCTCTTCGTTCAGGGTGCGGCGGCATAGGCCCCATGGCTCCTACCCTATCATTTTGGGTACGCCTCTGTGTGCTCGAATGTTGACTCTGGCACCTATTCTCATTATTCTGAGTCACTGAATGCGCAGAGAGGGGCGGTGTTGTTATGAATTCATTATTTCCACCGACCCGGGCTCCATATCCCATAATCCAAAAGCGGCAGACCAACTAACAACAGCGAGTGGCATGTCTGGGAACCATTCATGCTGAGGACGAAAAAACTTGGCATTTTTTACCAACGAGCGCACGATATCCCGTTTTCCTTACGCATTGTCTCATTCTAAATTCAGTTTTACCCTGCGAGTAAAGTCAAGAGAATCAAGAGAGTCAAAGTCTGTCAAAGAGAAGAGTAAGTAAGAGTAAAGTAGAATAGAAAAGGTAATGATTAAAGCTGACGAAATGTTGAGCCGTTTCTAGATGATCATATATACAGGTCGCAAATGTTTTTTTTTGTAAGCTTTAATACGCGAACAACAAAATGGTCCGTTTTTTGCGTAAACCAAACGGCAAACATTCCTTTGATCCTTGGACAAAAAGACAGGTTTCCACGACCTTCATATTTGTGTCACAGGCCGACAAACCTTAGGATGCCCTTATTGCCTCTCCCCCCAGTGAGTATCTAAATCACGGCATCCCGCGTTAGCAACCAGGATCCGCATTTTGTGACAGGCTGCCATGGAGCGAGCTGGTCTGGTTCGCTGTGAGTTGTTTCCAGGTTTGTCGGTCCAAAGACGATGTCCAAGGCATGACACACCCACCAGCGCATGATTACCTGAGCCACACGGCGGTACCGTGTAGGAGAATTCGATTCCAAATCGCACCATACCGAGGACCAGGCCCAGCATGATGCCCCAAAAGGCGCCCTGCCAGATAAAGACACAACAGTCGGATACACGGCCAACAGTCTGACGCAGTGTTGGGAAGAGAGGCCTATTGCTATATAGATACAGCTATTACCATAAAGGTACGTCTACTAAACCTCGCCTTTGATTCGCCGTTTTTCAGAACGCAAACTGATAGGAGGTAGGGGGGGGGGGGTCCATGCGGCCCCTAGCGTTTCCAAACTTATGACGATAGAGCTTAGCAGAAGCAACTCACCAAGCCTTTTGATGCGCTCATTAACAAACATCTTAAAGGCACTGCAAAGTCTGTGCAGTGCAAAAAGGATCTCAGCGGAATTGTTACAACACAATCTAAATTTTTCTTAACACAGCCACTTGCAATGTGGTGCCAAAGTTGAATGCAGTTAAGATATGAACAAAGCTTGTTATACTATTATCTTGTCTCAGCATACGACCACATAGAAAAACATTACGTATTAGTGAGCTTGCAGTGCAGCATGACAGTCTATATCATTACATAACTGCGGGGCCTACAGGTACTTCATTTACGAACGAACTATACAAACCTGTTCGAACAAACTATACAAACGAACCACGAACTTACGAGAACGAACGAACAACGAAACGAGCGTGAGTATGCAGCATATACTTTTGGGGACCAAGTATGGATAGGCGCAGACACGAAGAGAGACTGCATCCCCATGGAAGGTGCTATGCAACCCTTTGGATGGTTCATGTCCTTCCCTACCCCTCCCTCACTGCTGTGTGCTCTTTGTTCGCATTATTTTCAGAACACCAATGTGCGCTGACAACATAAAGAAACAAAAAGTACATGTCTGGGGACATATAACCTTCGTCCCCTCTCTCATGAGGCAGCATTTAGGGACACAGAAGCCGTTTAGAGGCATTACATAGAGCATTATTAAATAGGACTATCCACAAAACCAAATGGTACTAAAATACCACCTAATGAAAAACCCAAACATATCTGCCGCCAATTACGGATTTTTCAGCGTCAACCCTCGTGAGTCCATCGCTTTAATATGTTGTGGATGTCATTCGTCAAATTGGCTGTGAGCTGCCAGGGAATGGTCTTAAAAATGTCTAACTCGGTTCAAGACCCCATTCAAATGTAGGGATGATGAAAGAAAAGTTGAAAGTTGAAAGAAAGTTGATGCAGCTTGCTTCTTCCACTCTTGAACACGAATAGCTAATCGAATTTTTTGCGCACCAGAATCGACATACATTCAGTGCTGATATCACTGAGAGAAGGAGTCCCACCAAAGATCTTCGGCATACAACAATGAGTGATACACTGACATCAGCGCTCAGAGCACCCCTCGCCGCACCAGCGATACACCGACGTCAGCGCTCAGAGCACCCCTCGCCACACCAAGCGATACATTGACGTCAGCGCTCAGAGCACCCCTCGCCGCAACCAACGATACACTGACGTCAGCGCTCAGAGCACCCCTCGCCGCACCAGCGATACACTGACGTCAGCGCTCAGAGCACCCCTCGCCACACCAGCGATACACTGACGTCAGCGCTCAGAGCACCCCTCGCCGCACCAGCGATACATTGACGTCAGCGCTCAGAGCACCCCTCGCCGCACCAACGATACACTGACGTCAGCGCTCAGAGCACCCCTCGCCGCACCAACGATACACTGACGTCAGCGCTCAGAGCACCCCTCGCCACACCAGCGATACACTGACGTCAGCGCTCAGAGCACCCCTCGCCGCACCAGCGATACACTGACGTCAGCGCTCAGAGCACCCCTCGCCACACCAGCGATACACTGACGTCAGCGCTCAGAGCACCCCTCGCCGCACCAGCGTTGACGTGTGTGATCACCGCCCACGCTCACCTGCTCGTTGGCGCGTGGCCAGAACACAGCGAGGACGTAGATGGCGCAGATGGGCGGGGCCAGGTAGGAGGTGATGCTCTGGATGTAGACGAACAGCTGGCTGGAAGCCGATGAGTTGATGATCGGGATCCACACGATCGACACGCCCACCATGAAGAGCACGAACACCCTGCAGGGGAGGGGAGCGAAGCGGCCGGGGTCAGCACGGCGACGAGTACCCTGGGTGCCTTTGCGCTCTGAGATGTGACGCGATGCACCCGGACCAGCTCTAGATCCCCCTCATTGCGTGTATTCCAGCAGTCCATTAGGGGGAACACCCACGCACGCCCCCCCCCCCCCCCCCAGCGGCGGTTCTGCCGCGCCAGCTCAGCTTGCCTTGATCTGATGCTCCGCGCCGCCGTAATCCCCTCCCAAATGTTCGAATTATGTGGGCCGCCATGACGTCATCGTCAAGGTTTGACGCCCTGCGCCGCCAGGCAATGCCCACTACCTGGAGGTTCCTGCGTGATTGCGACTCCGCGGCTTCACTGGTTCAAAGCCAAACTTCCCACAAGCGCCGCGAGATCCGCAATATTATGCCCCGCCGGATGAGAGCCATTTTTACCTGCTCGTCAGGCGAAGGGGTAGCCCCCCCCCCCCCATTTTGTCCGTGACTGAGCTGGAGTGACTTATAAAAGGGAATGGTGGAGATTACTGTGTCTAAGAAGTCCAACGTACTACGATTTCACGATTTAGCCAACCAGGAATATTTCAGCTGAGGCTAGTCTTCATGATTGGGACTAACAAGGGAAAATCGTCGCAATATGGAACTAAGAATAACAAGTTTCGGGTCAAAAAGACTCAAAAGCAAACGTGAACACACCTTTGTCAACGTATATGCCATTTTGTTACAAGGACTGGTTAATTACAAGGCTTTGCTTCTAGACCCCGAAAGCTCCTCTATGTACCTGCCTTGGTGACTCGCAATACACTTCGCACTTGTTTAGAAATCCCCATTTGCAGCCCTGGAACCACCTGTAGCACGCTACGTAGGCTTGATTGCAATAACCATATCCGCATTGTATTCACCAAAAGTATCATTTTGTCTAGTAAGGGCAAGACGGTGCGTACAATCCAGAGAAGATAGCGTCTGGGCAAGATTGACAAATTTCAGTTGAAGTTGCTCCCGATACGGCGTTCTGGAACCCTGTCTGCGAACCCCACGCGCTTGAAATTCTGACACAAGGAAAAATGCATCCGAAAGTTGGAAAATTCCGGACTGTTTGAGACTAGCCATCCGAAGACCCCATGAGAGGGGGGGGGGGCTGAAATTTACCTCTGCCCTGAAAGGGAATGAATAAAAGGGCGGCATTCATGGAGTGACGTGTCCAGGACGCATGTTGGGAAGATTACGTGAAGAGGTGTTTACGGAGGGAAAGGGACAGAAACTGTGTACAAACTTTTTCAACGACTCTTCCAAGAAGACGGGATAGAGATGGGCCAAAATTTGTTCAGGCCCGAAAGGCCTCCAGAGCAGCGGATGGGTGTGATACAGACTGTTTTGCAAGACGCGGGAAATAAAAAGTGGACGGGCTGGCTCAGATTACGAAACTGAAGCGACTGCGTACATAGGTGCGCTGACACCTCCAGCCGGACAGCTCAAACTACAGACGCAATCGCACCTGCACACATGCCTTCCCCTCCCTTCAAGCACGTGTGACCACCTGAAATGACGCGCCAGAGTCATGTCATTAAGTCCCGACAAGGCTGCCGCCTTCAGGACACGCTTCCGTCTTGTCGGGGACGCGTGCAGGTCTGCGTGACAGTCCAGCCTGCGCTTGCCAGCCATAACTGCATTGGAAGTCCCCGACTTCGCCTCGCTCACCGCCCTGGATCTATTCACTTTTTGCTATGATCGTTGCGTAACCGCTTTCGTTGTTCTTTTTCAGCTTCCCGCTACAATGCTGACAAGCTGCCTGAAGGGCGGCAGGGTGCGCACTGACCTGCCGGCGATGACCTGCTCCAGCTCTGATGCGCCGCCCCTGATCCGGGTATATACGTCGATGGTGAAGAGAGTGGAGGCCGAGTTGAAGATGGAGGTGAGGGAGGACATCAGTGCGGCCAGCATCACCGCTAGCATCAGACCTGAGACGCCTGAAGGATTGCATTGCAAGGTCAGCTTAACCATATTGCTGTCAGCGTTAGAACCGACCGAAACGTCACTGTCAACTGCGTCAATTGGAGAGTCGGGCGCTGGGACCGACATTTCAGGAAGTCTGGTGCGTCTGACAGGTCAAGCAAGCTCAAATGCGCAACATGTATACAGGCCTCGTATACTTGGAGGATACACAGATGGAAAGAGCCGGCTGTGCTCCACACATTAGTCCGCAGCTACTGTGTACGGTAAACGAGACTGCAATACAGACTGCCATTAGTTGCTGTGTACGGTAAGTGAGACTGCAATACAGACTGCCACTAGTTTGCAGACGGTCGACCTGGCCGGTCGGCAGGATATTGAAGATTTGTCCTAAGCAGCTCTGTCTGGTGAAATCCCCCCACGTGCAGCAGCTGGGCGGTGGAATGGACCAGCTGGGTCACCACTGACTGCGCGGCTGCGGTCAGTGTTCTCCAAACCAAACTTAGCCCAGCAGCCCCGCAACTGAAGGTCTCAAATGCATGCCGGCTGCCTGCTGGGAAGGGCTTCTTTCGCAGGCAGGGAGCCTATTACGTATGCCTGAGACCTTGGCAGTTGCTTAGATCCGTTGGACCTGGACCACGTCATTGGTAGCCTTCCCGCCATATGACGTTGTGAGGATTCGCGTAGTTTCCAATGCAAAGCTTTGGGAAAGAAACCCGTGCAGTGATCCCACACTTGAAATTGTCAACAACTGAAAAACATAGCATCGTTATATATTGTCTACGCATTGAGTACTTTGTAAGCTTTCCTTTTGTTCATCCGTATTCCCGCAGTGGAACGTGTAGGTGCGTATTTGGGACAGCGGCCATCGGTTACAACGGCCAGCTGCGTATAAATAGCAGATGCACCCCGACATGAACACTCCTTTGCGTGAAGGCTTGTACAAACATTTTACAAGTATTTCCCGTTTAGTCTCGGCTGACTGCACAATCACAAGCGCACTTAAATGAATGTGCGTTTCTTCATTGGGCGTTCCCACGTTGCTCCGCGCGGCCGCCTCGCTGCACGAACCGGTGCCATATCCGGCCTCCCCTTTACCGGGCGGCAGCCGGTACCGTGTCCGGAAGCTCCCCCCGCCCCCCCCCCCCCCCGCCGCCCATCTCTCACCGGGCGGCCGCCGCTGCCGTTTCTGGTCGCCCCCCCCCCCCCTCCCATCTCACTGGACGGCCGCCGGTACCGTGTCCGGCCGCCCCCCCCCCCCCCTCACCGGGCGGCAGCAGGTTAAGAACCAGCTCGATGTAAGCCAGGTTGGAGCACCCGGACTCGGAGCCGCAGATGCTACGGCACGCCTCCGGGTCCGAGCAGGCCACCGTGTCCGTGTACAGCACGCGCGCCGCCATGCCAGGGAGCACGAGCAGGTAGAGCGGCAGGAACTTGAGCGCGCCGGCCAGCAGCACGCCACCCTTGGCGTGGGTCAGGTTCTTGGCGGCCAGGGTGCGCTGCACGATCACCTGGATAGGAGGGTCGAGGACACGTACAGCGACCACGGCTGTCGGAGATCAACACTTCATGTTCAGCACGACATTGTGCCATGCTTAAGATCCTGGTACCAAGTAGAGCTGACATTATATTACGCGTAGCAATCTTTCTTGAGAGTTAAGCGAAAAAAAAGTTATATAGGTTGTCACATATTACACGCCGCATTTTGTCTATTCATTACTTTTGAAGATGCATCTCGTGCAAGCACGCGTATCACCGGCAGGACTTTCAACCGTCTAAACGTTTGGCGAAGGACGCTCTGTTTGCAGTCTTCTCTGAGGCTTCTCTGCCCCGCCCTTAGACAGCGCCGGCGCGGGTCAGTCACGTGGTGCAGTGGGGCTGACCTGATCTGAACACCAGTACCAGACGGCCGATATCGTGAGGCCGAACGTCATGCCTGTCCAGGGCAGGTCCGAGTCTCCCGGAGCAGCCGATCTGCGCACAGAACAACAACGATTGAAATGAAAGACTACACAAACATGATGTATGAAATCGTGAAATGGATTTGTCGCTGTCACTCGTAAGTTTCAGGATTTGAATGCATTGCTATTGTTCAAAAATAATATAAATGTTTACAAATCTCTACATTACGATTGATTTGTGGGGAATCAACATGCAAACCTAAGCCTAACTTACATATCCAACTTATCAAACAAACTTGTATTTATACCTGATATGACCTTAACCTTAAATTCAGGCGCAAAACAATCAACGTGGAATGTTGTTCGGAAACTCGAGAATGTCGTTTGTTGTCTAAGTGTACTTGAAGCCCTACAGTGCATGATGGGGACTATTAGCCCCCTCTGTCAATTGAAATCTGTGGGCTAGCTCAGACTGTGCAACAGTTAAACTGAACGAGTGTGTGTCATCTCCCTTATGTTTAAAAGCAGCGGATAAATTGTAGAAAAAAAAGGAATAAAAGCGCTGCCCTCAACCTCTCGTGCAGTGCCATACACTACGTACATGCTTCACATAACACGTCGACCTTTGTGCAGTTGGCACGGAAGCTGACTTATAGTCTCCCGCTTCCCTTTCGAATGACATTTCTTCAAACTGCAAGGCAGCAGTCTGAGTCAGCTGCCTCGTGCCTGCCCGGCGATCCACGTCAGGTTCCAGCCAGATTGGCCGCTGAGCCTTGATACGCTAATACCTGAACAGATGCATGGCGTCCTCCCGTGGCGCGGCGCACGACCTGTTGTTGCTGTCGTACACGGTGACGTTCGGACTCGGTTCCTTCAGGAAGTATTGCTCGATCAGCGGACCGTACCCACCAACCGCCACAAACGCTGTGGAAGAGCGGAAAACAGTTACATCGTGCATGTGACATGGCTTCTGCTTTACCACCTCTCGCGGAAAACCAACCATGTCCAGTACATCTCTCGTGGCGCAAACACATGCATGCATGCTATGAGCGAACACGGGCTACATTTAACAGAACACGCGGTGACCGTGTGACCGGGACTGTGATGACCTATGTCTCACAGAGCACGCAGAGGATGAGTGAGCCGGCGATCATCAGCACGGTCTGCACGAAGTCGGTCCAGATGACGGCCGTCAGGCCGCCGAAGATGGTGAACACGGCGGCGATCACCAGCAGCACGATGATGGCCAGGTACAGGCCGAGGTCGCCCTGCCACTGCATCGCCCGCTGGATGAACAGCGCCCCGGCGTACAGGTCCGCCTGAGGTGGGCCAGGAGGGCGTCACAGCTCGGACCTCACCAAGTGGAGGACGCTCCGGTGTCTTAACGTACACGTCCGCCTGTTGGCTGCTGCTCCCGGTCCAGGGCAGGCACGCCCATGAGCTTCTGTCATGATTTATGTTCAGAATAATTTCTCATGCCGAATTTACTCCAGCCCATCTACCAAAAAAAACCGACTGTCATCTAATCCACGCGCAATGCACAATGCACAGCATTCACACAGCGCAGCAACAGATGCCTATGTGCAAGGATGTATGGCAAACAGAGGGATACTAGGATAGAGCCGCGTCCGGAGTTTCGGTTTTTCTGCGGTCAGTTGATACTCACTGATACTTTTGTGAAGATGTAGAGGAGAATGGCGAGCACAGACAGGTACACCCGTATCCGCTGGCCGCCAAAGCGCAGCCGCAGGTACTCGGGCATGGTGTACACGCCCGCGGAGGTGTACACAGGCACGAACACCCAGCCGAGAATGATGAGCACGAACACGGCCTGCGGTGCACACAGGCCTCTCTTCGGGTTACTCTGGGCACGGCGGCCGGCCTCAGCTAACACAATATGCCGACCTGTCGACCAGCCAAGGTGGACGTCCCCAGTGCCGTGAGACACGGTCCCGGCTGGGCATGGTCAGCTGAGCAGCAGTCGGCGTTAGGGCCGACCAGTGTGAGCGACATCCCGTGATGGCCGTGAGGGAGGTCAGTACGGTCACGGCTGGGCATGGTCAGTTGAGAAGCGGTCGGCGTTAGGGCCGACCAGTGTGAGCCACATCCCGTGATGGCCGTCAGTGAGATGGTTGGTCACAGGAAACAGCACTCCGCAGTCCACGGCGAGGAATGGCTAACGGAACGGTCCGCCAACGTAAGGAGCCGTGCGCATCGATACTGTGAAGGCGACTATAAGTCAACGCAGCTCATGACAGGCAGCGTTGGCCTCAGGGAGTGGCGGGGCGGGGATACCTCACCAGACCGCTAGGAGGAGAGACACTAGCTAGACGCATTCGGCTGCGTGACGACCAAAGTGTGGGTCGGTCGCTGTGACGGACCGTCAGTGCGAGGAACGGAAATCGTGGTGGAGGGCCAGTTGTGTGAAGTTCAGGGTGATCAATGACGTGAATCCCAATGACGTGAATGCCAGTCACGTGGCCGCTACAGTAAGGGACACTAATGCGGTCCCGTGTGCGGGACGACCGCTGGTGAGGACTGACGGTGCCGGGGAGGTCAGCGACTTGGGTCGCGTCGACATTCAGTGTGAGGGGCCGGCAGTTGAGCAGGCGTCCGCCGTGAGAGATGGCAATGCTCCTCACGTTCAGTTCGAAGCCGGCCACGGCGATGCCGGACGCGGCGCCGGTGCCGGCCAGTCCGATGAAGTGGCCGCTACCGATGTTGCTGGCGAACAGGGAGGCACCCACCTGCGCATCGTCAGGCATGGATCAATATTAGATGTCAGACATAGTCAAACTGGCCTATTACACATCGGGGGCTGTTAGACACAGGGCAAACGTTGCAGAGCGGTTTTCACGATTCGCCGATGACATGACAGCTCTGAGGCTGCACGCATGAAGTGCCATCTGGAGTGGAGACCATGAATTATTATTGTTGCGCACATGATTCGCGGGCAGTCAGAATCGCATGGCACGTGCAATAACTAAAGGAACTCTCTTAAAATTTGGGCATTCTGTGAGGAAAACGATCTGAAGCCAGTCAGGTAGATATGCATGGTTTTATCATCAACTGGCGTGCAAAATAATTGATGTACTAAGACTCCACCACGACTGTTTGCTCGAGTTACAAACACTTGTATATCGTGTCATATGCCATATATCGATGGGCGTTAACCGATCTATATTGCATTGCACAGCGAGAGTTGACGTGTTGTTGACAGATAAACACCCACCGGGAGCCAGTGCATGCTTCTGGACGCCAGGAAGTAACCGCTGAGGTTGTCCTTCTTGCCGCGCCTTGAGCTCTGCGAAACGTTTCATTGTGACGTCGTTGCACATGCAGAGCGTCCACTGGGCTGTTGGTAACCATCGCATTACACCTCGCCTCAATACAGTTATCCGAGCCGAACCACAGCATGCACCTTGCACTAGGCGTAGTGCAGAATCACTGCATTAGCGTGCCTAATTCCTACGAGACTCATGGTGCCGGTGATAAGTTTTTTGAGCTCGTGGAATATGGGATTGATTGTGGTTGATTGTGCATTCACTTTTGGCCCATGGACGAGCTGAAATGTATGCATCAGCACCGGCTGCTCAGTTTGATTCCATGCGTGTCCTCGTCTCTGCCCATTTATGGATTGTAATGCAGCCACCAGCTTCGGCGCCTTTGCGAGACAAGCCTAGACCACACGCTTCCTGCCACGCTACGCTTCCCTTCCCCACTGTCGCGCATCTGCGGCTATCCCGCCTTCGCGGGTCCGGTGAATCAGGGCGCTATTCCAGTGGCATAAGGCGAGACCGTGCTCTCGGGACATCCCAGCGGACCGAAGGATTTGTTTAAAGGCGGATCACGTCCGTGTCCCACTGCCGTGGGCGCTGGTCGGTGCAGCGTAAATCCCGTGACAGGACGAACACTCTCCAGTGCTGCCATCTCCTGGGTGGGAGTTGGTCGAAGAAAAATCTGACATGTGTCAGATCTGAACCAAATACTTTCCACTAACTATTGAATCCCGAGTCGGACAACCTCTAACCGAAGGCGCCACTGGGGTGGTGTAGCCGGTACAGCACGTGGTTTCCGTCGACGACCAAAGCGGAACAGCGTGTTGGAAACCAGGCTTGTGGTGTTTCCCTTTTCCGTGGCGATTGCTGTGAACAAAGCTACGAACGGAAAGTCTACTCGAAGGGGGTGCTCCACATTTGTATGGGGATTTGAACTGAAATAGTCCTCCTGGAGATCAGCCGGTGCAGTTCACTGCCCTGCCCTTCTTAAAACCTAAAACCTCTGGTTTCTGAACTACACGCCCGCAAAGATGTGCAAAATAGCTCGTGCATACGCGTTCAAAGCTAGTCAGGCATCCATGATGTCAAAATAACGCCATTCAAACCCTGTCATTCCACTGGCAATGCGAACTTCAATGTCAACAAAATGGCATAGTGGATTCGTTCGTACCTGACGATTGTGAGCACGATTCCCAGATATAACGTTTGTTAATTGGCTCTCAATCAATGTTATAAGGTATGCAAGAGTCCAACATTAATTCCGTTTTGCGTTGCAGAATACGAGAAGTTGTACATTCATACTGGTTACTAGGTAAGACTTGTAATCGAATACCTAAATACCTATCCCAACTTTTTGTACTTTCTAGATGCATTTCACATGCCTCGCTTTTTCACCGTAGGTGTTGTGTAATGTTTGCAGCGCATTAAGATGTCAAGATGTCTTTGCAAAATGCTACAAAATGTTGAAGCACTCTTTTTATACAAAAAGATACGTAGACCTGGCGCTATTATCCGCGAAATCAGCGAAGCGTAATGCTATGGCTTTGTTTATCCCTTATGGCGTCAACCACAGTGGTCCTTTTCGAGGCGCGCTTTGGCTTTGGGGATGGGATCACAAGGTCCACAGTGGCGCACTGGTTAAAACTTTGACCAGTGCACTTTTCGGTAACGTGCCCTTGCCGCTCGCTGGGAAAACACAACCGTTCTTATAATTAATTATCACGATGTCAACGAGAAAAACTGTAGTTATGCTGCAAAGCTTTCTCAGAGGAATTCGAAGTGCAAAAATCATTAAAATTAATATCCTTTTTAGGCCTTTGCGGTCCCGCACTGGACTTGCCCATTGCCACTATAAAACGTAACTGGTCCTGAGGTTTCACTAGAGTATGTTTTTGAAACATGCCCATAGTTGGTGTAGCCCCCTCTAAAGGGAGTATGTCACTTTGTTGAACTTTTCATTTATTACTAAATCAGACGCGTCCAATTTGATAGGGAGTACCAGTTTCTTTTTTTAATTCTGAATAGGTTAGAATTTCGATTTCAAGTAGCCGCTCCTGCGGGAGAAATTTAATTGGGCACACTATCAATCATTCTAAAAGTAATATATTTGATTTCCTTCATTTTTTTTCCAAAAAAGCCACCGCAGTGGCTCTTCTCAAAGTGCACCTTGGCTTTCGGAAACGGAGATCACATGGTCTACATTGATGCACTGGTTCAAACTTCAACTAATGCGCTTCTCGTTAACTGGTCCTTGCTGCACGCTATGCCAACCACAAACGTTCAGTTGTACTGACGTCATTCATACCAGTACAGGTGCCATTTTTAAGCCATAGGCGCGTAATGTGCGGGTTAGAATAGCTCAGAAAGGTACCTCTCACCCGTAGCAGCCAACAACGGCCCTCAGCAGATTATGTCGCCCTGGCGGCAGCGGCTGTCGTGACGCCTGCGATTGTCGGGTACTTGGAACGCACTCTGGGGCTACCAAGGGAGGAAAAGGTGCGGTGCTGCCACTAAGTGTTGGCAACGTAATTTGGGCTAACAAATCATTAAAATGTATTTATTTGTGATATCTTGATCATACTGTATTGGCATAACCTAGTGCTTTTATAAAACTTAAGAAGTCTTGAGGTTTTGCTAGAAGATTATTTGGAATATGTCCCAAAGGTAGGACACTCCCTTGAATAAGATTCCGCTCAAGCCCGTGAGCGGGAGGCGGTAACTGTTCCTCCCATCGCCCGCTCGGCGGGGATAGATCAGCGCGATGAGAGATCGGCTTGGTCACGGACGGTGTCGACAGTGACCGGCGCTATATCAGCGCACCGGCAGGTGAGAGATCGGCTTGGTCACGGACGGTGTCGACGGTGACCGGTGCTATATCAGCGCACCGGCAGGTGAGAGATCGGCTTCGTCACGGACGGTGTCGACGGTGACCGGTGCTATATCAGCGCGCCGGCAGGTGAGAGATCGGCTTCGTCACGGACGGTGTCGACAGTGACCGCCGCGATATCAGCGCACCGTCGGGGACTCCCCGCCTCCGCGGCCGGCCCGCTGCGAGTGACTCATAGCCCACGGCTGGTGGGCTATGAGTCACGGATGTAACTCATGACACACCAGCCGGACGCGCTCGGCGGAGACGTCCCGTGCCGCCGCCGGCGCAAGGGATGGGGCTCAAAAATAGAGGTTTTGAGAATTTTGGGTTCCGGCGGTTGTGATTCACTGCGCGCGGTTACATTACCAGCAGTTTGACGTACTTACAGCTTGACGAACAGCAGTTTGACGCACGCGTCTATCTTGCCATTGGACACCATCACACTCGCTGGGCTCGGATTCCGCGTGGGTGAGCATCAGTAAACGTCGTCACGATGGCCAAAGACACCCAGTAGGGGCAACTGGGCTTTGCTTTAACGCCACGGCCGGGGGTGAAAAATGCTTCTGATTTACCGGACATGATCACCGACAAAACCGCATACCTTTCCGAGCGGATTGGTGGCAAAATTGCAAAAATCGAAACAGAATTGCAACAGACTAAACTGTACTGGTGCAGGACACACATAGAATGAGCGTGGCCAGTAAGTATAAATTCAGGAGTTGTGCGCAGTAGTAGAAGCCAATGGCTGCATAGCTGCATATTATATGTGGCATACCATATTTCACATCGACAGATATCACGTAAACACATGCAGATATAACCGTTTTCTTACATTGACCTTTTCGGTTGCCTTCAAAAGGCCTCATTAAAAATCCTGCATGCGTTGAAGCAAATATTTTCTGCAGACATAAAAGTATTTGCTATTGTCGGTGCAACAACAAAAAAGGGTTAAAACTGGCCGGCATGTAGGTCAGTATATTAATATCAGAGACATCATCGCGACCGATTGAGCAAGCAAACAAAAGCATATCTTCGGTTATATACCACAATATTTCCATCCGCTGACGGAAGTCACGCATCGTTGGACAATGCTGGGAATGCTCGGGTTCGAGCCTCACAGATCCCTCACAGTGTCACAGCTCAGTGTGACAAATTATAGGGCACAGCCGAACGGAAAGCCTTCAATTGTGGATGCTACCCACGGTCCTGGTGGCCCTGTGGCCATGACCGAACCCAGGTCACAAGGTTACACGGTGGTGAGCGCTCGCTGCCGAACGACCGCCCACGCCGCCACCGCCGCCACCGCCGCCAGCCCGACGATGGCACCCACCGCCGCCAGCACCACCCACGGGCGCACCCCGCCCTCCTCGCCTAGTCCATCGCAGCCCGGCTCGTCGCACAGCGCCGCGAAAAAGTCCTGCTCGCTGAGCGTGGTCGTAGCCACCGTCGTTGTGGTGGGTCTCATCGCCTCCTCCGGCGGCGCGTTGGTGACGCCGTTGCCGGTATTGCCCAGACTGTTGCTGAAATCGTCGTCAGACTGGTCGAGAACGAACGTCGTCGTCAGCCCCGTCCTGTCGGCGGAGGCGTCGAGTCCGCCGCTGTTGCTCGGCGCGCGCTGAGGCCCCGACGATCCGGGCCGCGGCGCGTCGATGACCGGGTCACGCGGCGGCGCGGCCGGTAGCGTGGCCA